CAGGTCTCTCGCTTGCGAGGCAAGTGCTCTAACCGCTGAGCTACAGAACTCCACTATTATTTCCACTCTTTGCGCTACGTCCTCTCAACCACCAACTCCTGCCGCTGCCCTGGGAAGACATTCACCAGGGAGGGAGTGGAAGTTGGGCCACCTGTTGGACAACGCTGACCTAGACATATGACAATTTAGTGCTGGAGGAAGCACTGCGTTGTCGGATGGAACGTCTTTCAGATGGGACATTAAACATGAACCGGGCTTGATCAGATGGGCATTAAGTAACCCCAGGAAGCAATTTGAAAGGAGAAGAGAGTTTCTCGCAGTGTCTCAGAGCGACGTCTCTGGAAACTAGGCCAGTGGTTACTGATGGGAGTTAGATCTCTGGGAGCAAGACGGGAGCGAGGTCTCAGAGAGCAAGGTCAGTGGGTACTGGTGGGAGCGAGGTGCAGTAGTCACGGTCATCGCTGGGTCCAGACGCAGAGACTCCATTTCAAAATCTGCCTGAACCCGCGGCCGAAGCTCACCGGGTGATGCCACTTCAGTGTCCCATTTTTCAAAACAACCAGTCTTAAGTATAGTTTTTATTTTTTCTCCAGTCCCTTCCCTTTCTACTTTTTCTCTGCCTCTCAAACCCTCTCTAAATTATTTGTTAGGCTGGGCTCTTGTCCAACCTAATAAATAACTCTATGAGTGACATCCCCCCTGTCTCCCCTCAGCACTGTCTCTAGCCTCTAACAGCCTCCATGCCCGTGGGCTGACTGCTTTGCTTCCACTCTGTGTGTTCCTTTTGGTTGCTGACTCGAGCCCGCTCCCAAAATGCCCCTGATTCTACTCCCCATCCTTCGATACTTGCATTCAGTTATTCTCTCCTCCATCCCTCCCCAACTTCTCTCCCTCCTGGAACCTTTCACAGCCTCCCTCTGCTATAGCCTGGGCATTTTCCGCCAGGCTCATCACACCTGAAGACCTTCCTCTTTGACTGTTTCTACGGTCATCTCTCACTCCCCTAAACCTTCCCTCCTTGCCTTTAAAGCCCGCCTTAATGTCTTTTTCTGAAATGCTATGCACTGTCCAGCGTCTTGGGACGTCCTCCCGACGTGAAAGGCGCTATACCAATGTACCGTTGTTTTTATTTGTACTTGCGGTCACCTTTTACCAACCCCCCCACCACCCTTTCCCTCCCCTCCCTCAGCTCGGGCTCCCATTCACTTCTGTAAAGCGCTTTGTGACATCCTGTGGCTACTTCCCTCTTCCCATTTTTTGATGTCCAACCCCATCCCTGTGAAGCGCTCCGCTGAAGACTTGCCAGATGGCCATGCAGGGGAAGAGCCTGCGCTGGTTAACTCGCACTATAGGGCCCTCTAGTGACCGAAGGAGCTTTTCTATGGAGAGATCCTGGACCCTGCTGGGAGGACTCATTTGGTGAGCCCCTGTGCAGGGGTTTAAGGTGCCTTTACTGCACCTAGGAAGAGGGGTCAGGTGAGGAGTTTGGGTGAGTAAGCTATGCTGCAGAGTCCTCCCAATTGCAATTTTTAAATTATTTTTTTTGTTATTTTTAAACCAATACCTTGCTGACCACTTTTATTTCTCCTTTTCCCCCCTGAATCTACTACAATATTATTGTGGTAAAAGAAACAAATTGAAAATGCTTCAAGTTGATGTTTGGTACTGAAATGCCACATTAGGATAGGATATGGAAAATTATAGGCTGCCACTTAAAATAGTATGTTTAGAATGACAAATCCTTAGCAAATAATATGCATTTTGCTCAATTCATCACAACCCAGTTTGTTTTCCTTTTCCAGTAACAATAATTTAAATCTACAGAATTGTTAAGGCAGTGTGACGTTTTCTTGTGATTACAATAGTTACTCGATGCTATGTTTGCTATTTTGCATTTGCATGCCTCGTGTATATAACTGGTGCCTTGCATCAAATGGCTGTGTTCTTCAGTTTTTAATAAATTATCTGTTTCGATTAATAATTCTTGGATTTTATGTACTGCCTTTCACATTGGATTTCTCAAAGTGCTTTACAGGATTCACTGTAAAGTATAGTGACTGTATATTATGTAGGTGAACACAGCAGGTAACTTGCACACGACAGTGTTCCACAAAAACTTAAATCTCCCATGAAAGGATATTGCCCAGGCCGTCTGAGTATCTCAGTTAACTGGTTATCGTTAATGTAAGAATATTCAGCAACACAGTTTCAGCCAAACATAACGGTAAATTATTATACTTGGGTTCACTAAAATGATTGGGATTACAGAATAGAATACACAATGGAACTGTCGTGTACAGTTATCATCGACTCTGATCCCGAAAGTGGGTGTATGGTATTTGTCTGGAGAATGTCCATCAATTAAAATGTTTTCAAATCAATGAGATGAATGACCAATTAATATTTTTTGTTCTTTATGAATGTGGATGATATTGATCTTGACAGTGGGAAAACTCTTCTTTTCAAAATAGCGTCATCAGAGTCTTGGGACAACCTTCTGGCACGAAAGGCGCTATAAAAATGTAAATTTGTATTGTATCAGATTTTTAATGTCCACCACCAGAAAAGAACAGTTTTGAGATGGGAGCTCAAATCAAATAAAGGTTGACATACTTTGGAAAGGATTTTCATTTTATGTTCGAAAGCCTTTGGCGCATTGGTTCAAATTTCAGTTAAAACAAAATGTCAGATTTTTTGGTTGCTGCTTAGCGGGCCTGCCTGCTTTTCCTGATCCTAGAGTGAGCATTTAAGTACTGGTTCAGAGAATATCATTATGTTGCTTGATCGCCATGATCAGGAATGGTATTCTGGATTAACATGATCATCCAACCATAGTGCAGGGGAGGAGATCAGGAGATGTTCATCTAGGCAGGAAGCTCATGCATCTTAAGAACATCTGGAATGTGAAAAAAAATTAATGCACAAGTCCACAATTTTCACAGTATGTGAATAACTACCCAGTCAATATTGACATCAACTCACTTAGCATTATTTGTACCATACTTTAACCAGTGAAGATACCTAATTAAATTACTTCAGATGCATAAGAGATTTGGACACAGACCGCTTATCTCAGATGGATGATTTAGCTGTTCAAAGGAAAAACTCAAATACTGTATAAAGTTTACAAGATTGAGTGAATCCTTACTTTGGAAGATTTCAAGCACATTGGTTACTCATTGGAATTTGGTGGGAATGGCTCAGTGGTTAGAGCACTTGCCTCACAAGCGAGAGACCTGGTTCAATTCCCGGCAGGGCGAAACCTTTTGCAAGTTTCCTTACTCCACATGCCTGATAATAATCCCTCAAGAAAAAAAACAATCTTAATTTGGTCACTTCAATTTACGGCCGTTTGTGGGACACTACTGTGCGCAATTGGCTGCCGCATTTCGCCCACAAAAATGCAATATAAAGTATAATGTAATATACTTTACAGTATACTCTGTGAAGAGTTTTGAGATGTCTAGAAGACGTGAAAAGCGCTATATCAAATTCAAGGATTATTATTATTATGTGGTCTGTTCTCTCCCCCCCCACTCCCCCGATTACCACGCCCCTGAAAAGATTAATGGATTTTCAAACAGAATGTAACATTATTTGATGTGGGTCTGAAATGAATTATTTGGAGACCACAGTGTGACAGGAAATGGGGAAAAATACACTGGCTTCCATCTTAAAGATCCTTATCTGGAAAATAAGAATCACAACCTGAGGCAAACAGCATAACCAGCTGTTGCTGATCCCCCCGCCTGTTTAGAAGCTGTTGTTGGATGGACTTTGTTTATGCATTTCTGTCTTTCAACGCTTGCCACAATTCTCCACTTACCCAGAAATAAAATGCTTCTGAAGCATAAAGTTAAATATTCCTTTTTTAATGTTGTTTTCTTCTCAATATGCACCATGGTGAAGGCACTGGTGGGGGTTTGGGGAGAACATGAAGGAAGTGTGCAATTTTATAGCATTACAGGACTTGTAAACAAGCTGGATGTTACTTTTTGCAGCGTGTTCTTTTACAATTGACTCTTGACTGTTTTAGACCAAGTCTGTATCTATATTTGTTAATACAAAATAATGTGAGGACAAATCGGACAAGTGTGGTAAATTAGGCATTTTTGAAACTTTACATAGCCAGAAGGGATGAAAGAGGTTTTGGACAAACCGGGTGGGAAGACAACAGTAAACAATAGGAGCTCAAATCCATTGCCTGTTTTAATTGATCCTGTGCTTTCTCCACACAAAGAAGATATTGCAGGGTACACTGGTGAAGCTCAGTATTACATTTACTTTCCTACATCATTAACCAAATAACCTTATATCCCCTATAGATGGAAATTAAAGTTTGATGTTGATAAAATACCCATATTGGGTGTGCTTTCCTTTACTGTAGAATACTTTAGAATAGCTGGGTTATATGAATGGAGTTTAGAAAAGATTGTTTTCTTTGTTGGACCCTTTGGTGGTTTGAATGACTTTTCTAATCTCTTCTATGAATTCTGCGTGTAAAATGTAAATCAACCACTGTTTCCAAAATTGTGTAATGGAGTTTCTGTGACCCGATCACAGTGCTTCTAGCTGTTAAGTGTATACTTGATTATGCTTCACTATTAGTGTGAGAATGGCAGGCATCCTGCCAGAGAATGATCAAACACTATCTTGCATATCTATTGTTGGTGTCACTGTATAGGTCCTCGGTATCAGAATCCGCCTACCTTTTCTCAAAAATTAACCATAAGGACGATTTTGTATCCAGGGTAGATTAAATTTCAAATTTATTCTGCAGACAGGTAAAGTAAGTTACTTAACACCGTAAGTTGTGTTGGCTGATTCTCTGCTTGTTAAATGTACCTAACCAGTGGAGAATATTGAGTGTACAGGGAGATTCTATCTAATGTGCGTGCTTTTCTTGGTAGTTAAAGATTGTAAATGCAGGTTGTTTCATTCTAACAAAAACTTGCATGGAAATACTTTTTTGAGTGGAAATGCCCATTTGTATTTTACAGGCCGACCCAAAGGCAAACTGGAACCAATGGATACCATCTTTGTTAAACAGGTTAAAGAAGGTGGACCGGCAAATAATGCTGGACTATGCACAGGTACTCTACTTTGAAGGATTTTGTCTTTTTTCACCTTTTGACATTCAGTATAACCATGCATGAAGTGGAGAGATATTTTATTGCATAGGCTGTTTGTTTGCTGTCATAAATATCTGGGTCACATAATGAACGCCATGTGAAGTGGGTGGTTTTCACGTAGGGCTTAGGTGTGGAAGCCTTGTGTAGCACTGTTTATACTGTGAATAAACAGTGCTACATAGGTATACTGAGTATAAACAATGCTAATGCCGTTATTAGAAGTATTTTCACACCAGAATGCAGTCTATGGTGTTTGTTTCATATGTTCTGCAGAATTTTAAATTAATGGATGCTGGTTTTAAACCCAGGATATTTTTGTACTCCTCATGTTCTTAATCACATCCTCTATTGCTTCAGAATGATATATAAATAGACTACTGTCTGTGGTTCAGATAGTGAAGGGCAATTGCCGTAGTTTATCTTTGCATTTTAACAGAAGTAATAAAATGCGTAAAGCAAAGATAGTTTAAAACACACATTGTTAATTAGATGGCTAGAATAAGCCTCTTGCTTGTAACATAGGCACTTAACCGATGCAGCAAAGAGAGAACATGTAGGGCAACCAGGTTAGAGACTGCGCTTCCTTTGCAGTGCACAGAAAACAACATCGGCGGCAACCCTGGTAGTTTCTTTTCTGCTCTATTGATAAAAGATGCTTCTGACTTATTGGACCCAGATGACAATGTTATAACAGGTTTGCCTGTTGTTTGCATCTACTCAATGTAATTCACTCATTGAGATTTTGTAATTTGAAAGGGATGTTCCCAATTGTGTTTTAGCTCTTTGAATACAGACTATATTCTGTATTGTTGTGCTATTCAAATAGCTTGTTTAGGAATTATTTTTGGACAGATAGCAAATGAGGCTAATGTGTAATCGGAAAGGAAAAAGCTACAGCAAAGGGAAATTAATCATTGGCAAATTATAGGCTTAAAAACCAACACGCTTCAAAATAGCTAATTGTGCATTTATTTTCAGGTCATTTATTCAAGTTTGTTGCAATTTGGAATCTGAGAGCTGTTGTTTATCAGCAGTAGCACTGAGGGACTAATTCTATACAAAATACGTTACCCCATATTTCTCTTAGTAAAAAAANTCTTGTTGTGAACAGCACAGTCCCCATTTTGTGTCTCATTCTTGTCTCAAAGCACGGCAACAGAATTTTAAGCATAATGAGGTGTTTTGAAGTGTGACGATGGCATGTCAAGTATAATTTGATGTGCGAGAATGAAATTGGATCATGCAGGGTTAGGATTTTTGATATTTAGGTAAGAACTAGAGGTACCACAGTTCAATTGTGTTATCAGTAAACTTGCATTGTTACTGTATTAGTTTGCGACTAATTTGGACTGCAGACACTAAGCATGTGATAAGGGCAAAAGGTTCATGGTATTTCATTTTTTTTATTTTCTGTTAGTTTATTGGTATTCATGTTGAATTGAATTTGAGAAAAAAGTGCTTTATTTTAAAGAAAATGCTGAAATGGAAGCTACGTTGTAAACATGTCTTTTGATATTTAAGTGTAATTCCATGTCTGATTATTTGTTTTCAAATCGGTATTATGCAGACCATAATCTGGTGTGTTTAAATATGATAACGGCGATTCCTTTATATCATGTTCTGAAGTTTCTCAGTTACTTAATTTTGGAATTATTTTTCTGACTTAATTTGGAATTTTTTTTTTCTAATTCAGGTGACCGGATTGTCAAAGTGAATGGAGAAAGCATTATAGGAAAGACCTACTCCCAAGTTATAGCATTAATTCAGAACAGGTAAGACCTATTTTATAATGAGTATCTGCTGGAGTTGAGTGCATTCTGGCTTCATGCTTGACTGAAATTGATTCCTATAATTCATAATGTTTGCTCCAGAACATGGACCATTTTGTTCTCACCTGATGTGACGAGAATCATTGTGAACAAATGTTAGTCATTATATCAAAGACCCCTTTTTGGGACATTGTGTTTAGATAGCATTTGAGGTAATGTGGGGAAATCTTGTGGCTTCTGTAGCCGAATGGTTAGAGCCCTTGCCTCGCAAGTGAAAGGACCTGGGTTTGATTCCAGGCAGGACAAAACGTTGCCAAGTTTCCTTACTCCAAACGCCTGTTTACCTAGTAGTAAGTAAAACATATTTGTATTCACTTACAAATACTGTGGTTGTTTTGAAGAGATTGCAGTCATGTAATCAATGTTTTCCTCTTAAAGTAATTCTACTGCATACTCACTGATGCTTCTCCCTAGTATCCCACATTTTTCGATTTTAAAAAGTCAGCAGGGAGCAGTTCAGCTGACAATAGCTACGTGTGTCAGCAAATGGTTTCATTGATGGAATAGGTCAGGGTCTGTATCGATTCTGAAAAGCAATCTGAGTGTGTCTGTCAATTTGACGATCATTATCTGTCCAGCAATGTTGTAATCAAACTCAATTCTGAGTTCACTGTGCCTCCCTTATGCATGTTCACAGCACTCTTAGTACTGCACTGGGATATCAGCCTGGATGATGAGCTCAAAGCCCCAAAGTGGGACTTGAATCCGTCACGTCTGATCCAGAGTATCTATACCTTTCTGGTCAGCCTTAACTTAACCACTATCACCTTTCCAGTTTATCACCATCAAGGATCGGTATTAGGACCACTGCTCTTCTTAACATACATAAATGATCTGGACTTGGGTATAGCAAGCACCATTTCCAAGTTTGCGGACGACACAAAGGGTAGTAAACAGTGAGAAGGATAGTAGCCAACTGCAGGAAGACATAGACAGAATGGTAAAATGGGCAGACACATGGCAGATGAGTTTCAATGTGGAGAATTGCGAAGTAATGCATTTTGGTAGAAAGAATGAGGGGAGGCAATACAGGCTGGTAACCTATATAAAACACTGGTTAGGCCTCAGTTAGAATACTGCGCCCAGTTCTAGGCACCACACTATAGGAAGGATGTTAAGGCATTGGAAAGGGTGCAGAGAAGATTTACGAGGATGGTACCAGGAATGAGGACCTTGATTATGAGGAAAGGCTAGAGAGGCCGGGATTATTCTCATTGGAGCAGAGAAGGATACGAGGAGACCTAATAGAGGTCTCCAAAATCATGAGGGGATTTGATAGGTTAGAAATGGAAAAACTGTTTCCACTGGTGGGTGTGTCGGTGACTCAAGGTCACAGATTCAAAATAGTCTCTAAAAGAAGCATAGAGGAGGTGAGAAGAAAGTTTTTCACGCAGCGAGTTGTTCGAATCTGGAACGCATTTCCTGAAGAGTGGTCGAGGCCGATTCAATAACTACTTTTAAAAACGCGGTGGACGGGTATTTGAGGAGGACGGGTTTACAGGGTTATGGGGAAAGGGCTGGGGAGTGGGATTGACATTACATTGCTCTATTCAAAGAGCCGGCACAAACTCTCTGGGCCGAATGGCCTCTTTTTGTGCTGCACGATTCTATGATTCTGTAAGTAAAATTCTACTTTAGTTGCATTGTTTCATGATCATGAAATTAAAAACCTTTTGTAGAATTGATTTCCCATAATAATTTTGCTAAAATAAATTGGAATAGTCTAGTTGAAAAAGCTTATTTCATGTGTTTTAACAGGAGCTATTAAACCACCAGGATAGCCATTTATCTTGTTAATAAAATGTTCTGTCTTTCACCAAAACAAAGCCCACATACCTTGATGATCACGAGAGAACATCAAATGAAGAACACCCTTAGCCTGTTTGATCCACAGTATCTACCTTTTTGTTTGGGCTTCAAGAGAGCATCAACTGAGTCCAAATTCTTGGCCTCAACCAGCTTTCTTGGTAACCTGTTCTAGTCTTTAATTATTTTTACCTACATAAAAAAAAGACACTCTTGAAATTGCCCTGGACTGCCTTGAGCCTTTATCCTCTCGTCCTGCTGCCTTGGTTTATCTGAAAGATATCATTGAAAAGTACTAAAAACAGAGTCAAGCATTTTGGTATGAGCGGCTGCCTTTTATATCCGTCTTCTATAAGCATATTTGTTATCATGTAGTTATTAATTGTTATCTGGTAATAGATACTCTTGCTTTCATGTTTTGAAGTGACTCTGTCCTGGAGCTTTGTGTTATGCCTAAAGATGAAGACATTCTCCAGCTGGTAAGTTTTTTTTTTAAGTATTTCAGTTCTTTTCACAGTAATTTCGAGAGTTCACTTGTTTGACCCTATCTACAGTTCTATTGATTTTGTTTGGATATCCACACATCAGAAGGAATTACATCACACAAATGGCTGTAAGAGTATGGAATGCCCTGGCCCAGTATTGCTAGAACCATTTGGTGTTTAAAAGGGAAAGAGACCAAAACTTGGAAAGTAATGATAAGTAATGAACATGGAGAAAAGGAGGGTCCATACCTTTCTGGTCAACCTTAACTTTAACCACTATTATCTTTTCAGTTTATCACCATCAGGTAAAATTCGATGATCCAACAAAATGGCAGAACAGGAAATGCCTCTTCCTCTCCTATAAATTTTCACTCTCCAAAGTGTCAAACCTAAGATCTCAGCAAAATATGTGCTGTCCGTAATAGAAATTACTGTGAAATCTCGATGATGATGTTACGGAAGCAAGTAGTCCCAAATGAGTGCATGGGAGTCGTATTTGTACAAATAATTTATATAAATTTAAAGTTTCATTTTGAATTCTTCAAAGCAGTTGAATTCTATATTATAAACGCTGCAGAGGTCAGAGGCACGATCCTGGTGCTGAAAATCTGCGATTTATGGAACAAGAAATTAGGCAGATACTGAGGCTTCCACTCGGTCAGCTGCTGCTGCCATTCTGAGCAAACAGAGTTGAAACATTTAATGACGATATTGATCCTATAGTGTCCTTGAATGTTTTCAGCTTGATATTGCGGTGTATTGTCTACATGTTTGAGCTGGACTCAACTATAGACACTAAAGTGTTCTGACTGTGTATTTTGTAGGCAAATGCCTAGAACCAAACATCATTCCAGGATTGTTGCAAGCAAAGCCAGGAGATATTATATTGTATGCGACTGCATAGAACATCTTGCAGATTTGTATTCCAGGTACAACAGTGCATTGAAATGTCCATAATGCTGATCTTATCAGATGAGAAGGAAATTCAAACCTCAAAGAAAGTATGGCCACATGCTGCTGCCCAGCAAAATTCTTCTGAGAAGGAGAAATGTTTGTTCTGTTTGCCCCTCTAAAATAAAAATATGCTTTGCATACATGCTCCAACCTCTTTGCTGTAGAAAAAAACACGTCGGGAAGAAGTCCCACATCCCAATCAAGGATTTAGACCCGAGCTGGGGGTTGGGGATCAGGAGGGGTGGAAGGTAGGGTTAGGAGGGTAACCGAAGAGAAGGGTCAAAGAGGAGGATCTGGAGATGAGACTTAAAGGAAGAAGCAAGGGGAAGAGACTCTGAGATGGAATTCCAAAGGGTCAAGGCAGAACAGCTGCCCCATCCTTTGGAACCAAATGAATAAATAAATCAAAATTCTATTTCTATGGCACTAGGGATTAAAGACAAGAATGAAAATTACTTGCAGTTTCCTCTGCAACATTTTAAGATGGAGAAAGTATTATGTTATTCTCTCTGTCAAAGGTAATTGTTAGATCAGTAATTTTCATATTGTTGCCAAAATTTATAACTACCTTCCTTCCATATTATCATGGATTGGCATTTTAGATTTTAATCAGTCTTGCTGAGATTGTTGCATTAGATCACATACTAGTCTCTGTCTCTAGTGCCAAGAATGGAATCCAACTCAGACTGATGGGATCAAAGTCTCTTCCACCTCTTGGCTGTATGTGAAATGAATTAGACACTTTTCCGATTTGGGTGGGGTGGATCTGTCACCCATAACTATCCTTCATTTGGCACAATTTGGTAATCTCACAGGAAGGGAGAAGTGGAAAATTTCATGTTTCTACCATCGCTCTGGCTATGCCTGACGTACCTTATTATGGCAGAGAAGAGGGAGTTTTGCTCTACATTTAAATGTGTTTTATCTGCATTTTAATATTTATGAATTTATGTAAGAATCCACTTAGATTTTTCATGCTGAATGAAATACATTGGTAATTTAATTATCTGCATCTCTTGTGACATTAAGACCATTACTGCTCAGCTTCTGACTGCTTGTACTCTTTGGACATCAATTTTGCCAGGAGCCAAATAAGAAGAATCATGGCCACCAAGGCCATTTCTCTCTACCAGTCCAATTGAGTCAGGCTGCCTGGTCGAATCATGAACAACTGAATGAAGTAGTTGAAGCTTGCTTGACTCTCTATCTATAGCCCAAAGTTCTCATGGTATTAGACTTAAGACCATTGTCTTCAAATTTTAAAACTATGTGTGAGTTTTTAAAATATCCAGGCTCAATGTAGAAGTCAATTTTCTGCAGTTTGTTTTGGGTCCTGTGGAAAATCAAATTCCAAATTAAGACTGAATTCAAGACTGTTTTCACAACTTCCACAGAAATGTAAATTTTAAGATAATGGTCCTAAGCTTCAAATCATTAGGATTGTCAAGCCCCTGATCGCTGAGTTAGCTCCTGAAAGATTACTTGAGTTCAGTTTGCACAGGTGTGTGGTGTCCGAACCAGCTCAACCCTAAAGACATTTTGCTTATCTTTCTTCCACTCCCAAGGAGTGTGGTCACTGTTGCTTATCACTTGTAGTTAGTTGGCTGAAGAAACACCTATTAACAGATTTCAATACCATTTGCATCAACAGAATCTATTCTTGCAATATTTACCCTGACAGTTACAGTGAATTTTACTTCCCTGTAATGATTATGACAACAGATGGTCAAATGAATGATATTGCTTAACTTATTTATTTAGTATTCTTTAATAGTCAAAATAACCTGAGGTATACTTGTGTGCCAGCAAATAGTTTGCAATATCATCTACATATTTTCTTACTTTGAACAAAACCAGCATGGTTTTTTGTATCAATGTTATATTTTGCAAGTGGAGATATATATATATAAAATAATATATATAATAGTATATATATATTACAACAAGTTATGAAGCCAAGTCAAAATTAGTCCTTTAAGACTGCGTTGTATAATTATATATCCTCTTCAAGTAGTTACACAAATTTTCGAGTTAAACAGTAGCTGTATGATACTTAGATGCTCACTGGTGAATCTTACGGCCAAGAATCTGATTTAAAAACAATTGGGGGAATTGTTATTTTTTTAAATTGTAGAATATCCTGAAGATGTAAAAACCTTTTGTAAATCTTATGAATGCTTCAGACAAGCAGGAAAGACTGAAACCAAGTCAATTCATTGATCCTTGAAACACTTCATATTATATCCTATAAAGCGCTTTGAGATGTCATCCAGATGGGAACGACTCTATACCAAATGCAAGGGTTATTATGTTTATTGTCGCCTGTGTCGGATGAGCCTTGTGCATTCTCACCATTTTAATTCAAACGTTTTTCTTCAAACTTTTAAATTCTCCTTTACAATCCTCAATTCACTGAAGCAGATAATTTTGCCTGTCCATACACTTTGAATTTTAGGTAACCTGCGGTTAGTCTGGTTTTCTCGATGAAAATGTCTGTAAAGCCACCCACATTTGTCTGGAATTAAAATTGAATACGATCATCAAGTTCATTTAATTACTTGTCATAATCAGGATGTGTTGAAATCATCTAATTTCAGCTCTCATGCGCCTTTATTTTTTTTTGTTGACCATGGCACGGCTCCCATCAGTGACAATTGCAAAATATACCGTGCAAGCTCAATGCTTTCCATTGTGTCTCACAATTATGATCAATGGAAGTGCTTTCCTGTCTTGTCACCTGAATGGGTGTGATTGCTATATCAAATGCAATTATTATCTTTTAAAAAGCTTAAACTAGGTTAGATTCCTTCAGGGCCTGTGGCTTCTCTTTGTTGGCTGCACTTGCCAGTCTGAAAGAATATATATGAAAAAGATATTCTTTAGAAACAAACATTATAATTAAGACGTCTGAGGTTTTCTTCTACTCTAACAAGCCAAACGGCAAATTATTCTTGCAGATTGTGAGATATGATGCCACTATGTGCATTTCATGAGATCCCTGAGGTGACGTAAGTTGTTGCACAATGAGTAGTCTGGAGAGCATCCTGTATTTTAATTTTTCTACTTACATATTGTATTCGCAACCCTCTAAAACACCAGAATAATACAATCACCGTTGCACCTAATTTTCACTAAAATCCGAAAACTCAGGAAAAGTAAGAAAACAGTTTTTATAATAATAATCCTTGTATTTGGTATAGCACCTTTCATGTTAGGATGACATCCAAATGTGCTTCACAGGATATACTATAAGGTGTAGTGACCGTGTTTTTTTGTGGTTGAACGCAATAGCCAATTTGCACATAGCAATGTCCTACAAACAACCATGAAGTGAATGATGAGTGAATGAGGTATTCGCTAGACTTTAGAGGGATGTGATCCTATGTAAGATATTACAAGAGGCCATGAAAAGAGAATGTTTTCTGCTGCTTCATGATCACCAAATGTCAGAAGAATTCTCCCATCACTGAACTGACAACTGAAGAATCTTCTAAGGAAAAGTTTGAAACGTTTGTTCCATATTGAGTTGGAACGTGCAGGTTGCCTGCTTGAAGAAAGTTAAATGCACCTATAGCTAATAATCATTGTCTATAGTCAAATGACAGAATTCATGCAGTTCCTTTCTGGATGTTTTTTCTTACAAATTAGTTTGTGTTCACTTGCGCTCTGTTAATGTTTAATCTCTTCTGCCTCCTGCAGTGATGTGTGTGTGTATAATATATTTTAAAACTAGATGCCTCAGCCCAAGGGAGTTGCCACTTCATATGGAGTGAGAAGGCAAGGTTATGCTAGGAATGTGAATGTCAAAAAACACTTGAAAGGATCATTTCTTTCATAATTTTCACTGGTAATAGCCTGTGCTTATTCATATAATGGGGGGATGATTGCATTTGAATATTAAGCATGCAGCATTGGATCATATTTGTAATCCAATTTTCTGGTCTTAATTAAATAAATAAGTTAAATAAATGATCCTTGCATTTGATACAACACCTTTTGTGTCAGGAGGACGTCTCAAAGCGCTTCACAAGATTTATTAT